GCTAGCAATAAAAGTCAGAGGAATAATTGCAGAAACATGTCAACTTCAATGTGTGTCATATAGTTACAGTGGTACAAGCCATTTCAGTGATATAGGTATTCAGTTTTGTAATGCTGTGCATAAGCTTTCTATCAACAACAACAACAAAAAATTACCCATCTCCTTGTGTGAAGATAAGTGAAGGTGATTTTCCCCCCATATTAACTTACAAAGGAGTCAATTAGTAGACCTTGAGACCTACTCTGATTTCACCTTTCTTTAATTAAGTTTTCGGGAAAAACTAGCGCTATCAAAATTGATGCTGCTATTATCACAGACATTGTAGAGTCATTGACATTACCAACATCAACATAAAATGACAGGAAATATCTCAGGTGAGATAGTACTCATAACTGGTTCATTGGTGTCTTAGTACTTATAGAGAAAACTATGTGTAAAGAAAATTAATAAACTAAACTCATAGTGGGCATGGTATGAACATATATGCCATCCCAGAGGGTAATTATTTTATCTTATTATCGTTATTTTTCATTATCAATGGAAATACCATCGGAATGTACAGCCAAATACTGAAAACAAAGAATATATTTTTGCTGAATCTTATATATGGCAAAATAGGGAATTTCTTGTTGTACTAGTAACTTTTGAAACCTAAAAAGACTTTTGAAGTAAATTCATAGTCATCTAAGGATTACTTATGATAATATAAACTACGATTTATCTTTGTAAAAACCAGTAAGGGTTTTGTTCCGTACTTTTGCTCAAATCAACAAAACTTTTCTTCGCAAGTGCCCCTCTCCCCCCAAGACTGCTTTTTATATACAATATACTTGGACAGGGAGGGAGGGAGAGAGGGAGAGAGGGAGAGAGAGGGAGAGAGAGGGAGAGAGAGGAGAGCAAGTAGTTGGAGAGCATCACGCAGAGAGAGGAGAGAGAGAGAGAGACCGCAGAGTGAGATGGAGAGGAGACCGACGCAGAATGAGTAGAGGAGAGAGTACTGAAGATGACGAGTAAGAGAAGAGAGGCAGGACACTGAGAGGGGGAGCGACCGATTGAGTACGGGCAGGGAGGGAGAGGCGGAGACTTTTTGCCTCTCCTCATAGACAGATAATACTTTATCCACAGCAGAAGCTCTGCCTTTAAGCCTATGCCCTTAAAGAGTGGTTAAAATTGGATGTAGGAGAGAGATTGTCAGATGAGGGAGGGGAAGGCTTTAGCCGAAAGAAGATAGCGTACAGAGAGAGAGAGAGAGAGAAGAGAGAAGAGAGACAAAAACAGGATGGAGAGATTTAAATCGGAGGATCTTTTATCTGGGGGAGAGAATGAAGAGTAAAGGAGAGAAGATTGAGAGATATATCAGAAAACATATTGAATGATGAGAGAAAAAGAGGAGAGGGGGGAGAGAAGAGAGAGAGAAAGAGAGGGGAGAAG